CGTGCATGTGCATGTGATCGTTTCCGTTTCTTTTTCTTTCTCAGGCAGAAAAATATTCCTGAAACTCCAGTGGGCTTTGCTGCATTCCTCCGTTCTCCCATATGCCATGTCTACGATCTAGTCATCTAGCTATAGGCAGTAGGCACGTAGGAGTAGCTTCTCAAGTAAAGAGCAGCTAAGGTCTAGTTTAGTTCCAGAAAATTTTGCCAAATTTTTTAGATTTCGTCACATCGAATCTTTGGACGCATGCATAAAGCATTAAATATAAATAAAAAATAAAACTAACTACACAGTTTAGACGAAATTCAAGAGACGAATCTTTTAAGCCTAATTAGACTATGATTGGACACTAATTGTCAAATAATAATGAAAAGTGCTACAATACATTTTGCAAAAAAATTTCGCCATCTAAAGCCCTACTGCTAAAGGGCGAAGTCGGCACAACAGGTAAAGCAAGGGTTATATATTCGTACCACGCGTTGAGCTTGCAATTCTGTTATAGCTAGAAAAAAAAGAGGTGTAAAAATCTCATTGTCTGTCTGACAATGAATTATATTAATTCTAACGAATCTATCAAACTATGCTATGCACAAGCTAATAATTTTTTAAGAGAAAATTGTTCGAAATTTATGGATACACTTTAACACTTAGGACCAATAGCTAAACAAAGTTGTTTATATTTATATTCTTAATTGATAACTTTTTCATATTCTAACACACAATTAGTATTATATATGTCCAGTTGTAATAAATTTTAGTTAGAAAATAATCTATATATTTTTAACTCATATTAACTTGAGATATAGATTTGATATGGAAATAAATCTGATCATCGTTTTCTGCATAAATGCATATGTGATGTGAATGATGCCATGCGTCCTGAATGCATACATTGTGTTAGGTTTTCTATTTAAAAATGGCATAAGTGGATTACTTAGAAGCATATATAAAAATAATTTAGGATTTTTCTTTCTATAAATGGTAGATATAGGTAATTTAGGTGCAATATATAAAGGGTTAGGTTATCTTATGGCGGGGAAGAATAATTTAGATGCAATTTTAAGAGGTTAATTTAGATTGTTTTTCATAATGTCATATATGATATTAATTCAGTTTATATTTTCCAATGGAGAAGATGAGTAATTTAGATGCAAATTTAGGGAGTTATTATTATTTTCTACAATGGCATTGGCGGGTAAATTAGATAGAAATTAAGGAGTGACTTTAGGTTATTTTTCATAATGACAGAGATAAATAAATTGTATATAGATTTAAGGGGTTATTTTGAAGTATTTTCTTAATGATGAAGGTGGGTGGGTAATTCTTTTTAAAAAAATTGAAAAGATCACATCGTTATTGTCGACCGCGATTAGAGTATATTGAATCGATGGATGGATGGATGTTTATGATGTTTGTAAAATTATCTATGATTTATCCTTTTTTTCTATTGTGTCTAATGCGGATACTTCAAAAGTACTCTCCGATTAGTAACATAATCATTGAACCCCCGCAAGTTTATTGTTGTAAAGTTTAAAGCATAGATATGTAAGATTTACTCTCTCCAGTTAATAAATAAAACTTACCAGTCATTGATCTCCTATAAAACTTACCACCCCCTGGTACTCTCTCCAGTTAATAAATAAAAAAACATTTCATTCTGACATAGCACGTTCTTTTTACTTCGGTTAAACTTTGAACAATGATATCTTCTGAAACAGGCCATATCACCGGGGGGTTTTTTCTTAATAACAAGTCGATGTCATGATTTTACTACATTTTATTATAAATAATAATATAATGACGATCGGTGTTCAAAGTATTGTTTTCACTATCGTGATGATATGATGTCTAAAATAACAAACGTGTATTTTACACCGCATGTTTTTACTACTACCGTACGTGTGTGTTCGACGAACTCAACCAAGGCCTTGTTTAGATCACCTCCAAATTCCAAGTTTTTTCACTCTCTCTCCATCACATCAATTTTTAGCCACTTGTATGGAGCATTAAATGTAGGTAAAAAAAATAATTAATTGCACAGTTTAGTTGGAAATCACGAGATGAATCTTTTGAGCTTAGTTGGTCCACGATTGGATAATATTTACCAATTAAAACGAAAACGTTACTATTCATCGGGTTGCAATTTTTTGCAATCTAAACAAGGCCCCAAGAAGTTAGTACAGCACAGATTTGTCCCCGCTCGTATGTGAACGATCTAATAACTAGATTAGAAAAGCGGAGCATCGAAGAAGTACACACTTGGTTAAAAGGAGGGTGGCATGACACCTAAGCACGCGCGTCTTCTAAATCGGTAACCCAAACCCTTTCTCCACAGGACCACACAGTGTGGGTGGGTGTGACCCTTTGCTTGCGCGCGCACACTGCGCAGGCTGCCTTTCGCACTCGAGCTCGACGCCACTATATATACCAGTCGACTTGCTCACGCATCAGCGTGACAACCTCAGTCCCTTCCCCGCCCAAGGCACGAACAGAGAAAGATCTGAGCGACGCCGCGGCGAACGGCAACATATATAATGGTGAAGAACCCAGGCAGCAATGGCGTCCTCACGGCGACCGCCTTTTCCGACAACAAGCCAGCCAGGCCGGAGAGCGGCATAGGCGGCAAGGCGGCGGCGGCAAGGCCGTACAAGGGGGTGCGGATGCGGAGCTGGGGGTCGTGGGTGTCGGAGATCAGGGCGCCCAACCAGAAGCGCCGGATCTGGCTCGGCTCCTACGCCACGCCCGAGGCCGCGGCGCTCGCCTACGAGGCCGCGCTGCTCTGCCTCAAGGGCTCCGACGCCGTCCTCAACTTCCCCACCTCATCACCCTCCTCGTCCGCGTCCTCCTCCCACCGGCGTGCTGACAAGGACGACGACCCGGCTGCCGTCGGCGGCATGTCACCGAGGTCCATCCAGCGCGCCGCGGCCGCGGCTGCCGCGGCGATCGACGACGCCGGCATGACCGCCAGCGCCGACGACAGGTGCTCTTCCAGCGCCTGCGCAACGACGCCGACGTCTGCCTCGCTGTCGTCGACGCAGGGCAGCACCGATCACGTCCACCAGGAGCAGCACGCGACGACGACATCATCCGCCGCGGCCAGCACCGGCTCGCCGCCCGAGGGGGAGGAGCTGTGGACGGACCTGGAGGCGTTCGCCTCGCCCAAGTTCATGGATCTGGTGGACACCGGCGCCGCGGCGCCGTTCTCGTCGACGTGGGAGGAGCCCGAGGACGACGGCGAGTTGATGAGGCTGTGGAGTTTCTGCTAGGCCTCTGCCTCTAAAGATCAACAAAATCGCTAAGCAGTGTTGCATACATGCATTGCTCCGTATTTTTTCTTCTACCTGTCAGCATGACGTACAGCATTGCAAGGAGTACCTTAGCTAGGTGCATGCACGCCCAGCCAGCCAGCTTCCACGAAAGATTCTTTTGTTTTTTTTATAAGATAAAAAAGATAGATTTAATTTAATTATTTGTACTCATCTGAACAGTAAGTTCATGCATGGATTGTTGAGCGAGCGAGAGCATTGGATACTTTTGCTAGACTAGATTTGCCTCCATTTTGTTAAAGAATTACAATTCTCGTGATTGCTTAATCTAATCAGAAAGTGCTCGGAAGGACGCGCTTTGTGTCTCCGATATGTTCCTGAGGAGGCTTCGCGTCTAAGCAGTTTGCAGTTGCACGCTAGCTGTGCTGTACCTGTGCTGCTGATCTATCCTAGTTTTTGGTGTTGTAAAGGTGAATGCACACGCTGCTTTTGATCCAGCTCGAATCTAGCGCACCCGTCGTTCTCGTTTCCTTTCACATGTACTAGTTTATTTAAGAGGTCTGCGGTTAATCGGCAATATGAAACGGAAGGGTGCGTTCATCGGCAAAACTTCCCAGTCACACATAGTACCTGTTTACAACATGACGTCGTCAAAATTCGTGCTACCTGGTGGCTGCTGCAACCTCGGGTGATCAGTTTGACTCAGGGAGCCAGCAGGTCCCAAGGGCCGACCGGCCAAACAAAAGATAACAAAGTAATTACTCCATCGTATAGAAGCTTAGCACATTCCATGGTACTACTATTAGGTACTTATATGTGGTGGAGTAATAATGTAGTGGCCAATAAATTGTTGAGCAAGTCCTTGTTTAAGATAACTATAATAAACATCGATTGTTCATGTCTGGCAAGTGTTCAAACAAAACTAGGAAGCACACGCATCGGTTCTGGAGCCTTTCAATTGAACGGTGACTACGCAGCGATTTGGGGGGTACAGAGAGAAGCAAGTACGCATGTTCTGTACAGCTCAACAGAAGAGGAAAAGTATATTGTTATTATACGGCACTTACCTCTAGTAGATCTCGAATTCTCAAACTCAATCCTAATGGTAGATCCCCATGATTGAGCCGACGAAAATTCTTGTGTGTGATCGGAATCTACCAGACAGGTAGCGGTTGAATGTAACCAACACCGAATCCGTAAAGTTAAATGGCTAACTCAACCAGTTGGATAAGAGGTGTAGACATGCATCTAATCATTTATATTCTACTGTTTTTGTTCTCGAAAGCGTGTCATTCTCGGGAGTCAATGGGTCTCATAATTTAACGAAAATATATACCAAAAAAATGCAACAGTTTTCGGAATTTTCATACTCTTTTCTCTGAATATAAAATTTTGATATGACCTAAGCTTCACTTACCGAAACTCTTGTTACAGAAGCATAAGAACACGAAAAGGTGTGTTCACCACAAAATGAAATTACAACAGATCCAAGAGCCCAAGAACTACAATGCAATGAACGTTTGGATCTAAGAACAGCCTCAGCAGAATGCATTAGTCTTCCACTATATTGACGTTCAAGCCAACAGCATACCATTTGCGGCTCGAGGAGCTTCTGCATATGGCTTAGGGGAAATGTGCGCTCTGTTTTGTGATCATTATCGTCTTTAGGTATAAGACCAAACTTCAGAGTACTTCCGCCATGTATCGCCACTTCATCTTGGCTTGACCAAAAGGTCATGCATTCTCAGGCTGATGCAATGCTTTCAGATCATCACTGGAATCAACAGCAGTTTTCTGGGTCATTTGTTCAGATGCTTCTGTGTCAACCACTTCTGAATGATGGTTTTCGCTTATAACATCATCAACTTTTTTGCTAGTTCTTTCACTGTTCTCATTGTCATTTACCACACTATTCAAATTTTCTGGCTCCTCAGATACTACAAGATCAGATGTCTGCCCACTCTGAGCAAGAGTGGTTTCAGGGCTGACACCCATACCTTGTGCAAGTGCTACCGAAGTACTAGTTGCTTGTACGAATTCAAAAGGCTTTCTACATCAGCATGTCGAATAGAAAATTTTTGGGGTCATATCGGATGTGTCGGAAGGATGTCGGGAGAGGTTTTTGAATACTAATAAAAAAATAAATTACAGAATCCATTAAGAAACTGCGAGACGAATCTAATGGTACTAATTAATCTGTCATTAGCACATGTGGGTTACTGTAGCAATTAAGGCTTTTCATGGACTAATTAGACTTAAAAGATTTGTCTCGCGATTTTGTCGAAAACTGTGCAATTAGTTTTTTTTCGTCTGCATTTAGTACTCCATGCATGTGTTCAAACATGCTCTTTTACTGTAGGAGGCAAAAAAAAATTGAAACTAAACCAGGCCTCAGGGCCTGTTTAGTTCCACCCAAAACCCAAAAAATTTTGCGCAGTATCCATCACATCGAATCTTGCGGCACATGCATGGAGTACTAAATGTAAACGAAAAAAAAAACTAATTACACAGTTGGGTGAGAAATCGCGAGACGAAACTTTCAAACTTAATTAGTCCATAATTAAACACTAATTGCCAAATACAAACGAAAGTGCTACAGTATCAAAACCAAAATTTTTGCCAACTAAACCGGCCCTCAGATCACCAGCACGAGCAAACAGGAACGGGTACTCCTGGAATTTTTTGTTCAAGTCATCTTCATTGAGGAGCTCTGCTGCTCCTTTCTTCTCTAAATCAGAAACAGATTGCACCTGCTCAACATGTTTCCCACTCACAGCCACATCACTGTCCCTTCTCATATCCTGTCCTGAACCTTGGACGTGATCTTTCAAAGATAAGCTGGCATCAAAATTCCTGTTAGCTTTAAGATTTTGTGATTTCCGATCTTGGACGTCAGGATTGGCTTGACTATCCTGGTTTTCTGAGTCAGCTGATAATCCCAACAAGCGTTCCCTTGCTGAATCCATCTTCCTTTGAAAATCTAGTTCATTCATGGATAACGATTCCCCATCAATGTTCCATATGAAAGACTCAGCAGACAATATGTTTGTAAAAAAGTATTGAGCCTCTGACACCAATCGTGTTTGCCGTCTATATCTTTGTATGTACAACAGATTTGAGTGGAGCTGCGGAGGATTAGCCTGCACTAAGAACATGAGCTTGATTATTACAACAATCCTGACTGTTATGTGAACTGCAAAAAAAATGATTAACAGAATAATATTGAGGCAAACAACAAAAGGATCCTGACATTATTGTCTAGATTTTTGAAATAAAAACTATTAAAGCTACTCAGGCCGCAAGGGCAAATTTTTCAAATACTGTTAGAAGATAACCACAATACATTTTCTAGTGCTCAGTGAGACTATTGCAGAAGGGCAAAATGTAATAAGGCCTTGTTTAGTTTGGCCGGAATCGGCATTTGCACGGTGTTTAATGTGACGGCAAATACTGTAGCATTTTCGTTTGTATCTGTGAATTATTGTCCAAACATTGACTAATTAGTCTCAAAAGATTCGTCTCGTAAAGTTCAACCAAACTGTGCAATTAGTTTTTAATTTCATCTACATTTAGTATTCTATACATGTACCGCAAGTTTGATGCGATAGGGAATCTTCTTTTTGCATAGTGCCAAAGTTAAGAGTTCTGGGAACTAAGCACCGCCTAACTTATTTAAGACCACCTATTGGTTATGTGTGATTGACTGAACAATACTGACACCAATACAAGATGCTCCAACTCGAAGGATCAGTTCAGCACGATGTTTCTCATTATTATGTTTCTTATAGTTTGTCTGCTATTGGAAGTACAATCATTCTTGTAAGCAAAACTCAAGCAGATCCTGACTAAAAGTTATTACTCTGAAACAACTGCACCATAACACTTGCTCACTATTGAGTCCATATGTACAAAGGATGTATCCAAGTAGATAGCTACAGCCATAGTGCTTGAGGGAAAAGGAAATGAGGAACAAAGCCAGCATGCACCATGCACAGACAGTCCAACACACTTAAGGACACCTCACAAGTCACAAGAGACATGTCCAATGCATCAGATTTCATCAGATACTTTGCTGATATTTTTCCAACATATATAAAAGCTAAGTAATTCTACCAAAATGACACCGGCACAATGAAACTTTGTCCTTGCGTGTCAATGGGGGTTGATCTTCAATGGAGAACTGAATATAAAAAGTACTCCTGACAACAGATACTTCTTTTGCGAAGGCTATAAGCCATACCTTTATGGTGACATAGAGATAAGGACCGGAAGAAATTCGTCAGCTCCAAGGGGGGTTTCATTGGATACAATTGAAGCATTTAGAAGTAAGTTATTAATAACTTTACAGCAGTTCAGAATGCAGGCAAGCTTACCCCTTGGAGCTTTATACATGTTTATTTTCTGCAGCTCCTTCTGTGCGAGCTATACCAAAAACAAGAACAACAAGTATCAATTAGTCACACCTATATGAAGAATAAACAGCTGTTATGAGGTCTATCTAAATACATGGCTTGGACCTAAATAAATGGCTTGGCCAGTGGGGCGCAATATACATTTGTTGTCTAATTTGAAGATCAGCAGATCCACTGACAAGGAATCATAGAAGTTCACATTTCCTTCAAGACTACATGTGTGCTTAACTACTACTTAAGTGGATAGCTGAGTGACTGGCAGTGGTAAGAAATTGAACAGCAAAAATTCACAATGGAAGTGTAATACGTGAATGGAATGGCATACAAATAGTAGTGCATAGAGCATAGACATATATTACATAGGAAGGTCCAGCAGGCAACCCAACCCAAGACACAAGTACAACGCTATCCTAGTTCAGTTTCTGCCAGAAACTTTATCATGTGTGCAGCCTGCCAGGGATGCAATACATCCAGCAAATAAAATGCCCCAAAAACGAGGGAAGTTACTTTTCATACCAGCCAGGATGTTTCATTCTGGTACTCTGGTTTTATATCCAAGTTTTCAGGCCTTATAAATTGCTGTAGCAAAGCCATTTTCTCAAAAAGTTCTTCATCACTCTCCACATCTTCTGGGACTGAAGCAAGTACCCGATTAAACAGCTTTGTCATGACATATTTCTCAAGTCCCTAAAAGAGAAGTCAAACGTTGTCAAATTCCAGCACATACAACTATTATCCGGCATACAGCATAATAAAATGATAAAATCTTAGTCGGTATACAGCATAATAAAATGGTAAACTATTAGTCACTATACAACATAGCAAGTCTCAAGCCCTGGTAAAGGAGGAGGGTTATGATAGGCGTGGCGAGTCAACGTTAAATCTAGTCATTCTAATGGAGATGAAACCCGAAAGAAAACCGTTGGGGCGTAACCCTCATAGCGACGCGCCATATCGGAACCCGGGTATGGTGTTAAATGAGCAAGGGTCGGGTCATCACCCCCGTGACGCGCCGTGTCGTGATCTGGGCACGGTGTCAAGTGAGCAAGGATAGGGTCGTCGCATCCTTAGTGGCGCGCTATATTGGCGCCTGGGTGTAGTGAAAAATAAGCAAGGGTCTTCACATCTGAGTCGACGGGTGCGAAGGGTAAGAAATCTAGTCGAACCAATTAGGATCCGTTTAGGTAGTTGAAATGTAGGGTCGCTTACGGTAAGTTAAGAGAATTAGTTGATACCGCGACTAGGAGGCGTGTAAATATATTATGCATTCAAGAGACTAAATGGAAGGGTCAGAAGGCGAAGAAGGTGGACAATGGAAATTTTAAGCTTTAGTATACAGGGACAGTTGCGAATAGAAATGGAGTAAGAGTTTTGATTGATAAGAGCTTCAAGAATAATGTGGTGGGTGTGAGAAGGCAAGGAGATATGATTATCTTAGTCAAGCTTATCATTGGTGATATGGTCTTGAACGTAATTAGTGTGTATGCCCCTGTAGGGTCGAGATGGCGACTACAGGGGGTGAATAGTCGTTACTAAAACTTAATCGCGTCGGCTAACCGAAACAGGTGCGGAATTAAAACTATCGGTCTAGCCAAGACTACACCCCTCTATCTATGTTCTCTAGCACCTTGCAAAGATCTTAATTAAACAACAAAGGTGCCGGGCTAACTAGAGCTCACCTAACCAATTCTAGGAGCAATGTCACACAAACCTATGCCACTAGTATTTCAAGCAATGAGGGAGCTCCTACACATGCTAGTAAGCAAAAGCACAAAGCCAACTAAGTTCAGTTCACTAACAATGCTCAATAACAAGGCAACCAATGCCAAATTAGAGAGCGCAATTACTTAGCTACACAAACTAAGCAATATGACTAACAAGGTTACACAAATCAAATTAGCCACGCAAGGGAGCTACTTCTATGCTACACACGCAAGAAGGTAACTAGTGAGCTACATAAGCAAATTAATTACAAGAGCAACTACATATGAAACATTGCATATTTATCCAATTCAATCAACTTATATGCACCCATATGAAATGATCAACAAGAGATATACCTTGGTTAGCTCATAATCATTTAACTAGCAAGTTTGAACTCAAATATTTGCAAGCCATCAAATAATCCAATGAATCACCAACAACTTGAATATGACACTTGTATGTTGTAGCACATTTAGACTTCACTCAATGGTACCTATAATCAATCATCCACTTTTCTATGGTACCCAAACAATTTTGGGTCCTCTCAAGTTAGGAGCGACATACTTAGGCAAAGCCTTAGTATGAGTAGCGGGATGTATTACAATAGCAACTATAGAGGTACCATTATCATCCTTCCTAAGATAGAATCATCATCAATTGAAATAGGCTTAGGAGTGTTACCTAGGGGACATGAATGTGCCATGTGTCCCCTTTCCCGGCATGAGTAGCACTTTCTCTTTGATTGAGCCTTCTCTTCCTTGCTCATGTGGTGCTTCTCATTACCGGGGTTGTAAGGTGATACCAGGGGAGTGTGTTGTTTCTCAACATAAGCTTTTGGTGACAGACTTTCATTTTTAGGTGTGTGCCCGTAGGGATAAACAAGCTAAGATTGAAAGAACAAAGTGGTAGAAGCTGAAAGGGAAGACGTCAGAGGTATTCAGGGAAAGGGTTATCAAAGAGGACTCTTGGAAGGAAGAAGATGACATAAACAACATGTGGGAAAAGATAGCAACCAACGTTCGGAAGGTGGCCTCAGAGGTGTGTGGAGTAACCAAAGGAAGTGGAGGCGAGGTTAAAGATACTTGGTGGTGGAATGAGGAAGTCCAAAGGGCTATTAAGGAGAAGAAAGAATGCTATAGACGCTTATACCATGACAGGAGTGTGTACAACATAGACAAGTACAAGGTGGCAAAGAAGACTGCAAAGCAAGCTGTAAGTGTGGCAAAGGGTAGAGCGTACGAGGATCTTTACCAACATTTGAGTACGAAGGAAGGAGAGAAGAACATTTATATGATGGCTAGGGTTCATAAGAGAAAGATAAGGGACTTCAACCAAGTTAAGTGCATTAAGGATGAAAGAGAGCATCTCTTGGTGAAGGAGGATGAGATCCGATATCGACGGCAAGAGTATTTTGACAAATTGTTCAATGGTGAGAATACGGACACAACATTTCAGTTGGATGACTCTTTTAATGACACCAATAGGCGCTTTGTGCGGAGAATCCAAGAATCTGAGGTCAGAGAGGCATTGAAAAGGATGAAAGGAGGTAAGGCGATGGGACCGGATGGTATCCCAATCGAGGTGTGGAGATTCCTTGGGGACATAGCTATAGTGTGGCTAACCAAGCTGTTTAACCATATTTTTCGATCGAACAAGATGCCTGACGAGTAGAGGAGAAGTATATTGGTACCGATCTACAAGAATAAAGGAGATATTCAAAGTTGTACTAATTATCGGAGAATTAAGTTGATGAGCCATTCTATGAAGCTATGGGAGAGAGTTATCGAACATCGCTTGAGAGCAATAACGCGGGTCTCTATTGAAAGCTCTAGTTTGGTTTTGGTGAATTGATGAAACCCTAAGTGCTAACCTAGTTTATCAAGTGATCATGAGATAGGTAGCACACTCCAAGTGGTGAAGCAAATGAAGATCATAACATGATGATGGTGATGCCATGGTGATGATCAAGTGCTCGGACTTGGAAAGAAGAAAGAGAAAAAAACAAAAGGCTCAAGGCAAAGGTATAAATTGTAAGAGCCATTTTGTTTTGGTGATCAAGACACTTAGTGAGTGTAATCACATTTAGGATCGATAGCCGTACTATTAAGAGGGGTGAAACTCATATCGGAATGCGGTTATCAAAGTGCCACTAGATGCTCTAACTCATTGCATATGCATTTAGGATCTAGTGGAGTGCTAACACCCTTGAAAATGTTTGTGAAAATATGCTAACACATATGCACAAGGTGATACACTTGGTGGTTGGCACATTTGATCAAGGGTGGTGAAGTTTGGGTGCAAGGGTAAGAAACTCCACCGGTGGAGTGTCCGCCCGTAGAGTGCGGACAGTCCAACGGTGCCACCGACGCCCTAGACAGAAAAGACGGAGGTCACTGGGTGTGACCGGACGCTGGCCTCGGTTGGACCGGCACGTCCGGTCAGATGTAATAGCGAAGACGCTGGAGTCAGTCAAACAACCGGACATTGGGTTGCTCTGCGACCGGACGCTGGCAGGGTGCGTCCAGTCAGTGTTGACGTACGCTGATGTATGGCGTACAGAGGAGATGTTGTGTGACCGGACGCTGGCTGTGTCCGGTCAAGCATGACCGGACGCATCTGGTCAGAAAAAATCGTGTTTGGAACCATACTGGAAATGACCGGACACTGAAGTCAGCATCCGGTCACTTTCTAACTGACGCATCCGGTCAGCAGACGACCATTGAAATCTGTCGAACAGTATTTGAAGCAGGGGACACGTGGCGTGAATCACGTGACCGGACGCTGAGGGCCAGCGTCCGGTCACCCCGCGTGTGCCCAGTGAAGGGGTACAACGGCTCTATTTCGTGGGGGCTTCTATTTAAGCCCCATGGCCGGCTCAAGGTCACCCTCTTGGCCATTTGCATTGACATAGCAACCTTGTGAGCTTAGCCAAAGCCCTCCCACTCATCTCCATCATTAATTCATCATCATAGTGAGATTGGGAGTGATCCAAGTGCATTGCTTGAGTGTTTGCATCTAGAGGCACTTGGTGTTCGTGTTTTTACGGGATTCGCTTGTTACTCTTGGTGGTTGCCGCCACCTAGACGGCTTGGAGCAACGAGAATTGTCGAGCGGAGGGTGGTGATTGTCTCCGGCTCCGATCGTGGTGATTGTGAGGGGTTCTTGACCTTTCCCCGACGGAGAGCCAAAAGGTACTCTAGTGGATTCCTCGTGGCTTATGTGATCCTCATCTTGTGTTGGTTGTGCGGCACCCTATTGAGGGTTTGGCGTGTGATGCCAATTAGCGCGTGAACCTCCAAGTGAGTGAATCGCCGCAACGAGGAGTAGCTTGCCGGCAAGCAAGTGAACCTCGGTAAAAAATCATTGTGTTCATCATTTGATCCCGAGGTAATTGGTCTTCATTGTTATTCATTCTTGTGATTGGTTGGCTCTTTCATCTACACGGCGGTATAACTTTCTTGATCACTCTTTTTACATTACCGCAAACTAGTTGTCAAGCTCTTTAGTGTAGCTAGTTGTGAGAGCTTCCTTGCTTGGTTGGTGTGGCTCTTTAGTTACCCTTTGAGAGCACACTAACATAGGGTAGTGTCATAGCTATTGTGTGAATAGATTCTCCCTAAACTAGAATTGTGGTAGGTGGCTTGCATTTTGAGTAGGCTAGCGCAACACTTGCTTTGCCTCATAATTGTCTAACCCTTTTGTTAAGTGTTGTTGTGGAAATTTTTATTAGGCTATTCACCCCCCTCTAGCCATTAGGACCTTTCATCCGATGATTCTCCAAGCAGTGCACCGAGTTGCCCAGCGTCGGCGACTCGGAAGTTGTCCAGGCTTTCCTCTCCGGCACTTCCTGCCGAGACCTGGTCCGAGAGCTAGGCCGGAACGTACCGACCTCGAGCCGCACTCCTCGACATCGCCACCAACCGCCTCGGATGAAGAGGTGTCGGGGCCATCTTCCCTGAGGACGACGCAAAGGGAAGCGGAGG